AGGAAGATCAGGAGGACGAGGAAGGATTCGACGACGGTTAGAGAACTTTGACATTTATATTTTTTTCTAGTTTTATTGCATTTACTATGAATAAATGTCATTTTTTAGTAAATTTGTTCGTAAGGGCCTTTTTTTCCCCCTTTCCTTCTTTATTAATTATCAGGGTTAAAACAAAAAAAAAACCACTGAATACTTAAACCCCCCCCCCCCCCCCCAAAAAAACAAACAAAAAAAAAAAAAAGAAAGAAAAGCACCACTGGCTATCCTAATGGCTAATATATCAGTTGTAGATAAATATATATTCTTCATCCTGATTGAAGAAGGCCTACCATTTTCGTTGCCCGATTGAGCAAGTATTATTTACGTCTGCGCATGTTAAGAGATACGAGTTGGCTGCAATGTAGTTTCTTTCTTTGATGGCCTATGAAAGTTGTCTGCTTTGTGCAAGTTCCTTCATATAACTGGGAGTGTCTCTTGATATTATTCAAGAGAAAGAAATACTTACATACCATGAATCTGCTCATTAAACTGCTTAATGTATAGCCCCAAAAAAGAGTCAAACAAATCCTTTAGCGTTGGATGTTTTTGGCGGATGTTATGACACAATGATCAACTTCTTTACAAGAATGTTGCATTTCGTTTGTTTGAGTTTTTAATACTTGATTGTTGACCCATCAGTGCTGTTCGATGTTTTTGTTGACATATATAGACTTCATAGAGAATGGGAGCGCAGATATACTTGATAAAGATGATGCTATACAGACACATCGTAGCTTCCTTGTTGATTCTGAGGATGATGAAGAAGAAGATATTGAGGCACTTGAGAAGAGGGTACAGGAAAGATATGGCAAGAGAGATTTGGAGCTTGATGAAGAGCCAACAGAAGTCGAACAACAAGCTCTCTTACCTACTATTAGAGATCCAAAATTGTGGAGGGTGACATGTGTGGTATGTGATTTAGCCTCTCTTCTGGACTGAACTTGAAGGCTCTTATGAAAGTGCATGATATCTGACTCGTGTTTAATGTAGAATGGTCATGAAAGAGAAGTTGCTTTTTGCCTGATGCAAAAGTCTATTGATGAAGGATCTCAACTGCAAATCAGATCAGCTGTAGCTCTTGATCATATTAAGAACTATATTTATGTTGAGGCAGACAAAGAAGCTCATGTGAAGGAGGTATGCGTTAATTGTAGGAGTACAGTGTGTATGTGACAGAGTTATGTCTAGCCATTACATTCCTGTTAATGTAATTTCTTGCTTCTGTTACAGGCATGTAAGGGATTATGTAAAATAAATAGTAAACAAATAATGCTTGTTCCACTCAAGGAGATGACAGATGTCCTTTCAGTGAAGACTAAAGCTGTTCATCTTTCTAGGGGTGCTTGGGTGAGAATGAGGAACGGAATGTACAAAGGAGAACTTGCCAAGGTTGTGAACCTTGTTTTCCTTCAATTTTGTTGTTTGGATCTCTTTGAGATACTATTTTTCTTGACTTCTAGCTATTTGTCCTAAAGGTTGTTGATATAGATAATGTGCGGCAGAAAGTAACGGTGAAACTGTTCCCCTCAAATAACTTGCGGGCCCTAGTAAGTAAATTGTTTGTGTTATCTGCTGTATTTATTTATTTATTTTTTTAAATTGCTTTTACTAATTTTTTTTTTCATTTATGAAATTTCTACAACTTATCATCTTCTATTTAAAAATTTTGTTCTCTGCACTTTAGAGTGATTAATGATAGCAATTTTTTTTTTTTTTTGCTGTTTTCTATTAGCACGTTATGATATGCCTGTATACTTACATAGCAAGTTGCTTTTTCCAGGGTGATGGAGTTTCAAAGAAAAATGATTTTCATATCACACCGCGTTCCAAAGATGGTTTTTTACTCAAAGAAGTGTCCTTCAGATCAGTTAATGCATGTAGCGTACATCCCACTATTGATGAACTTGAGAAATTTCTTCATTCTAGTCACATTGAAGATGGTGATATGGCAAATTTATTGAGTCTATCGACAAATAGGAAGAAAGCGCAGTTTTTTAAGGGTGATCGAGTCATTGTCGTGAAGGGTGATCTTAAGAACTTGAAGGGATGGGTAGAGAAAGTTGAGGAAGATAACATCCATGTGAAACCAGATGTAGGGTATCACCTGGTAAAATAGCTAACTTCATGGCTTCAAACTTTCGTGCTGAAGTGCCTAAAAATGCCTAGTTGGTTCTTATGATTGTTTGCACCATAATTTTTTCAGGATTATCTTGTAATGAGTCCAAAGAGCTTTGCAAGTACTTCGAACCTGGGAATCATGTTAAGATTATTTGTGGAGCAGCAGAAGGTACAACTGGTTTTGTGGTTTCTGTTGAGGGGCATTTGGTGAATATAATATCTGATACCACAAAGGAACTTGTAAGTTTTTCCTATTTAATTTAATGTCTTTCAGTATTCCGAAAATCTGCAACGAAGACAGGTAACTTACGAACTTCATGATTTTCTAGCTTCAAGTATTTGCTGACCATGTCATGGAGATATCTGAAGCAGCAAGCGGTGTCGATCAAATTGAAGATTTTGAGCTTCATAACCTTGTGCAGCTGGAGTAAGTCTTTCTTACATCTGGACATTATTGTGTTAGTGTGAATGCTAGCTAAAATTTGTTCTTCATTTTTTGTGCAGTGATTCGAGTTTTGGTGTCATCATTCATATTGAGAATGAATCTTTCCAGGCGAGTTTTATGATATGGTGTAAAGTTGTGCTGTTAACTGACATAAGTTGCTGAAGTTTGGTATTACCTTTTCAGGTACTAAAGGGGATCCCAGGGAAAGCGGTGGTAGAAATTGTAAAGCTGGGAAACATAAGATGCAAACTTGACGGAATAAAATATCAAACAAAAGATCAACTAAACCACCAATTATCAGTGAATGACCTTGTGAAAGTTGTGGAGGGTGTATGGAGGGTGAGTATTTCGCTGCTTGTAATGTATGTCTCTTGGAATTACCTGTTCTATCATTGATATTATTTCTTATCCTCCTTCAGGGAAGGACAGGTAAAATTTTACATATTTACAAAGGAAATCTGTTCATTTATGACCATCATCACCTGGAGAATGCAGGCTTTATGTGTGCAAAATCTCAATCTTGTATACTGCTTGCTGGTGGATCACGAGCAACTAACAACTGGAATGTATGGATCGTGTATCCTATTGGCTAGTTTTTATCTGTTTTAGTTTGCTGTTTCCAGTCAAAATTCATACAATTTTGCTCCTGTGTAGGGTGAGAATACTAGCTCATGCTCTCGTGTTCATCTGTCTCAACAGAGATCATCTAGAGGCTGCTCATCTATGAATGGTATGTGGAATGTGTTTTTATTCTATTAATTGTTTACTTGATTTCATTATGTTCTTTTAACTTCAAAAGTTGGATCTAGGTATTTGTTTTTAATTTCCGTATTTTTTTACTCGATTTTCTCTACTTTTTAGAATGTGGCTCATCTGTGAATGGTATGTTGCTGTGTTTCTTGGTTGAAAGCTGAAAATAATTGTGACATTAAAATCTCTTTTAGCTAGAGGAAGATATGGGTTTCAGCAAGAGCGTGATGCTTTGATTGGTGCTTTTATTAAAATTCGCGAGGGTGTATACAAAGGTCACAAGGGGCGTGTGAAGAACATAAAAGGAAAAAATGTTCAGGTGGAATTGGAGGCCCAGATGAGGGTGGTTCTAGGCAAGTTTTTTGATGAATTGAGCAACCTCTTATTTTAGCTCCCCCCCGGTGTCTCTTCTCCTTTCTAGTTATTGGTTGGATGTTTGTTTTGGCATACTGACGAAGATCATTATATGCAGTGGGTCTTGATCAAATAACTGATACTGTGAATATCTCAATGCCTTCCCGGTAAAACGTGTTTCCTTTAGTTTCTCTCTCACTTCTGATCAAATTCGTAATTGTTGATCAAATATTTCTATTCTTTGTCGTGCCAGGCAAGCATCTAGATCTGGCTTTGAAAGTGGGGCCCCTGATCATTCTTCACAAACTCCACTGCCTCCATTGTATGACTCCAATGAGAGATCACGAGGGTATGTTTCCCTCTTCTTGCTCGCTTCATGGTATCATCGAGGAGGTTGGTTAGCCACTAATCTGTTATTGCTGCTGCAATTACAGTTCACGATGGAGGGTGGACACCTGTGCATGATAGAGCATGGAATTCAAATCCCACAGTGGGTGTTACTGCCGGACTTTCTGGCAATTGGGTCTAGGCGACCATATTGCTTGGTCCTTATGGCTGAAGACTCTCTGGTTTTTTAACCTTTGAGACAATTAGATGTTTCTACTTCTTTGTACATGGGAACTTACTTTGTGGTTGAAGGCCGTCTGTCTATCATTGGCTAGTTTAGATTTCAGACAATTAGAGGCTTGTACTTGCATCTAGGAAAATTTTCAAGTATTGAAGAAAATTTGGCTTGAGTTTGTCGGGGAAAGCTTTGCAAGTTTTTTTTTTTTTTTTCAAAAGTTCGAAAGGGTAGTAATATTCACAAGAAAGTGTTCAAACAAATTCCTACGGCGGGTTAAAGACCATTTAAGTGAACCCGATATATCCACAAAAAAGAAAAAAGAAAAAAAAATAAAGAACGTACTATTAACCATGAAAAAGAAGATAAGTGTCTAAACACAGTTAATTTCCACAGTTCCTCTGAAAATATGATGCATGTGTCTAAACATTCTCGGAAGTTGCCTGAGATGTCGCGGAAGCCTTAGAATAGTGTAAACTACTCCCACAATTTCCTCTATACGCTCGAACTGTTCAAGTCTGCTCCATGCATGCAACAAACAGTTACATGGCACTCTAACCGCGTTCCAAGGCCTCCTAATCCACACTTTCCGCTCTATAATTAACCAAACCACTCCCCATTTCTCCTAGCCTAGCTATAAATTTGCTGTCAATTTGATTTTTTTTTGGTTCCTCACTAGTGTTCCAATTCATTATCGCTTCACCTTTTCTTCATTGTTTCACAAGCAAAAACATGGCTTTCAGGGCAACAAACCAGTTGAGACCAGTGCTGAAAGCAATGGGATCACAAAGCCGCTCATTTGCATCCTCTGCAACAAGAAAATACGCAACCGCAGCAACAGATGCAGCCATGCATGTTCATGAACACATGCACCAGGCAAAGTCCAAGTTCCCGGCCAATGGGGATTGGGCACCGGTCATGATCATGGGCGGTTTTCTTGTAACCGTGGTCACCTTGGCCACTCACAGTGCTTGGCAGCAACTAGCATATTCCCCAACTGTTCAGCTAAGCAAGAAGAAGAGAGAAACTGTTCCCGAAGTGTACCAGCCAGATGCTGTTCTGGGTTCAGCTGACAAGTTCATTAACAAGTCTTTTCTTCGAAAAGTTGCTCACATTCAGGACCATAAACGCACCCTTGACGACCCTTCTCGCCCGAACCCCTTCACTCATCCAAGGGGCATTGAGTCACTGAAATCGGTTGGAGTTCGCGAATAAAGCTCCTTCTTTATAAACTTCTGCAGATTAACTCGTTTAAGATTTAACAAGGACTCCATGCGTGGGTAGTGTATATGATCTAGGATCATGTTTTGATTTATGTTCCTTTCGTATTCTGGAATATTTTCGCTGTAGGAATAATTGTGAATTATCCTCCCTCCTTGCTCGGGTTCCCTCTGCCTCTAGAGAGTGGATGCATGGGAGGGGAGTTAGTTTGTCTGGCCTCAAGATCTGTAGGGCTTCTTTTTTTTTTGTGCTTAATCAGCCAAAATAAACACAGCATCTTCTGCTGCAATGCAATATAAGGAATGGTCAATAAATTTTCTTTCTTTTTCATGGAATTATCCCATTTTTGGAATAATCTCATCTTTGTTTGTGGTCCAAATGGGGAGTGAAAAAAAAGGTTGGGGGAACAGCAAGCGAGAAAGGTTGCTGCTTTCCAACCAGTTTGTCTTGAGTTTGTCTTGAGATTGACAAGGAAATAGTGCCCACTCACACTACTATTTTCTACATCTTGGATATTGATTCCAGGTTAATTATTACATTTCATTTTAATATTATCTTGTTAGGGTATATTCAATATTAAGTAATATTTAATGTATACTTTGTCCAAATATATACATGTACTTTTAATTTTCTCACTCTAGTTTGACACAATGAGTAGTAGTGCCTAGTATTTTATTTGTTATTTTCTATCTTGCTGAGATCATTCATTGTATTCACAACTCTACACCTAAAATAAGAACTTGATAGTGTCTTTAGGTTTATCGACCAATTCTACTTGAAAAATTTTACAGACAAACATAAAAAAAAAGAACTTTTGGGACTATTAGAGGACATTTCCCGTTAATCACTAAGGATGCGTTTGACAAAATTGAAATCTGAATTCATTAAATTATTGAGTTATTAAGTATTAAATCAAATACATTTGAATGTATATTACATTCAGTGATAAGAGGAGTAAGTTTTATCTAAAAAATTTAATACTCATTTAATTAATTTACATATTTAATTTTTTATTATCAAATACGTTGAACATATTAAAATCTAAATTTATTAAATTTAAATGATTAATTGAATTATCAAACAAGCCCGATCCGTTCAAGTGTGGACTCATATTTTCCTCTGGCTCTGCTTCGATTTTGAGGCTGACTAGCTAGGAGCCTAGGATTTTGAGCTAGCTCAAGAATTTCAAATGCAAAAAATAATAATGCTTCATGAATCACGTGTTGTCTTGATGACGGCGATATCTCACCCCGTGTATTTGACAAATGACAAGACGCCCACCTGTTGTTTATTGTTATTGTTATACTGTATAGATATACTTATATATTTTTTGGAGTAAGCCTTGTTTGGATTGCAGTTTTTCGTCCAAAAATTACGTTATTTTTCGTGATCATATTTTTCTATTACCTTTTTTTCTCACATACATCAAATTGTTACAGTAATTTTTCCATAAAAAATCATGAAAAACGCAATCCAAACACAACCTTAAGTTTTTTAAACATTATCAATATAAAATCTTTTTCTACAGTAACAGATTTAAATTAATGCCATTAACATGAATTCAAATCATGTAAATGTAGTATATGTCCATAACTGATAGTGTAAAAGAATTACTGCATTATCTAAAAAGTTAATCTTTTTTTTTTTTGCCATAACAATAAACCAATGAGGGTAGCAAAAATACACTTCAAGATAAGTGGATCCAGCTTTATAATACTAAAATTTAGACCTGATTTCCGCAAGTAAAAGTTTTTAAAAAAAAATTTAAAAATTGACCAACAAAGAGTTCAAGGGGGGAGAATCGAGTAAATACTCAAAATTGCAGTCCTAAGATAATTGAAGGAGGATACACGTAAATTTCTATAATCTAGAAAACAAACACTACTAAGGGCATCCACAGCGCGGGTGTAATGGCCTCCATTGCACCACTCCATGACACGGTCTCTCATTGGAGCCGTGTCATGGAGATTACATGCATTATATCCATGATGCGTGTAATCCATTAGAAGGTGGGACCTATGATTAAATGTAAAATAATTCTAACCACCAACGGTTACATTATATTTTAGTTTCAACGGTAAATTTGCCAGCATACAGCACATTTTAGCTTTCCAACGGTTAGATTTTAGTCTTTTATATAAACACACAACACTTTTTTTAAACTTAAAAATTAATAATATCATTTTTAGAAAATAAAAAATTCAAAATGTAAAAAATTTAATAAAAGTTAGTACTTTATTTTTTAAAAATAACAAAATTATTTTTAAAATTACTTTATTTATTTATGGGATATGAGTTATGCATTATTAGAATAAATATTTGATTTAATTGTGAACCCATGCTATTACACCTTATGGAGTGTAATCCATTGTGAGTGAAAGTGTAATAAAAGAGGAGAAAATGGAATGTTGACGTGATATGTAGATTACACTCCACAAGATGTAATAGCATTGTGGATGCTCTAATTAACGGTGGTTGGTGATTGGATTTTGAGATTAAATGATAAGTACCTTGAGGCAAAAAAAAAAAAAAAAAAAGGTGTCCAATCTGCTTCAATTTGAAATGCTGCCAGGTGTTACCAGTCGTACGTGGATTCTGCGTCAGCATTTTATCCGTTCTTCTTATTCTTCGTTATCCAAAAGCTTCAACAAAACCATGGGCCTAATGCTGATGCTGCAGCCGCGTAATGATTGACCTTTCTTTCTTTTTCTTTTTCTCTTTTTCTATTGCGTAAAATATTTCTCTTTCCGTTAAAAAGATGAAAAAAAAGGAGTAATTAAATTTAAAGGGCTACTATAACAATAAAATGTTCGAAGAAAAGAAAGAGAGATTTTATACTACAAATTTGACCCTCAAGGAATCTTCAGAATCTCGTTAATCGTCACTTATATCTATCTTCAGTTCAGTGAAATTATTAGAAATCTCAAAAAAAATTTATGTAATTATCACGTACTGTTATGATATGAGAGAACAATGCGTGATGAAGAAGACATATTATATACTCCCTCCGTCCCGTTTTGTTAGTCTTGGTTTTTTTTTTCACACAGATTAAGAAAGTGTAATTAATTTGGTTGAAAACATAAATTTAGATTAATAATTTCCTAAAATACCCTTATGCTAATCAATGCAGTCAATGTATTCAATGTATCGGAAAAGTTCAATGTATTCAATGTAGTGGGTTAGTATTTAATAACAATGTATTAATAACAAGATATTTAATAAGGGTATTTTAGACAATTTGAAAGATTACTACATTTCTTAATGGGAAAGTGGACTACAATTTGGGACAGACGAAAAAGGAAAACAAGACTAACAAAGTGGGACGGAGGGAGTAGATGAAAATCAGTGGTGTGATTTTGGTATCCCTATTGCCTTCCTTATTATGATAATTAATCATTTGGGGTGCACAAAGCAGGACATCAACATCAAATACAGCTGGTTATTTAACACTTGAACCAATAAAGAACTACAAAATCTCAATAGGATTAGTTTATATATTGCTTAAATTCATTGACCACGCAACTTTACACTATTTTATTAATGTGCTTGAGCTGAATTTACACCAGCAGCTTAGAAAGGATCGCATCAATTTCATTTTGATTTGGTGGAAAAAAAAAGGTTGTAGTATACGAATTGCGTACAAACTCAATATGTTTAATTAATCCAACTGTTTGAACTTACTTAAACAAGAATGGTACACCTAAAAAACAGTTCAATTTAATTTGTTTACTTGATTTAATACCCGAATTAATGAAATATATATATATATATATTTTTTTTGTCGACACAGGAATATCCTGAAATCGAGTTAATGAAATAGTTCGAGTTGTATTACGAAAGCAAGGATAGTAACTTTGGATAAGGAAGGATTCGCCCAAAAGAATAATAACCTTGGGTAACTAAGGATTTAGGACAAAGACAAAAGTTGTAGGATAAGAAAATAGAAGAAACGAAAAAAGAGGAGGAAGGGAAAAAAAAAAAAAAAAAGGACGAAAGAAGAAGAAACAAACAAAGCAAAACCGCTGGCAGTAGTTTGTGGTTCATACTTATCCAACACCTCCTTTCCTCTGACCTCAGATTTGCTGTTGTTATTAAAAATGCCCAAGTCACTCAAAAAGATGCATCGCCTAGAAAACTCTCAGATCCAAAATATTCCCACCACTAAATCCACCCCGCCACATAAAAATTTATCAAGTTAAAAGAAAAAGAAAATACCGCTACTAGTTAGTATTAGTCTCTTTTTTTTTTTTGTGGAAAGAAAATTGTAGGATTTAAAACAAATAGAAAAAATAAAATACACATTTATCTTCAAATCCTTTATTCTCTTTATCCAATATCCATTTCACCTAAGTTCCTCCTCACACTCCATAATCCTACTGCACTGCAACCCAAAAAAAAAACACACACACACACACACATAGTACACAACGTGTTTATTTGAGTGTGTGTGTATATATATATTTATGACATCTACTACACAAAAAAAAAAAAAAAAAAAAAAAAAAAAAAATATATATATATATATATATATATATATGTATATTTACAAATAGAAAAAAGCTCCGATGAGAAATCCTCTGTACATATTCACACCCTTCTATCACATCAACATCAAAATCTAGTCCATTGCCCAGAAGCTTTTTCCTAGCCTATTTCTGCAATTAGGGCTTCTCTTTTTCTTCCTTGTTTTTTTCGTTTTTTTTGTTTCCCACATAGTTTCCTGTCTGTCGATAGCCTGTTATGTTTGCTTCCACGATTTCTTGTTTCCAGCGTTTTCTGTTTTCAAGAAATTTTAGATTTTAGCTGTGTAAACTTCAGCTATATAGATAGATAGGTAGATATACAGATACAGATAGTGAAGGAGGGGATTGGGAGGGATGGGTGGGAATGATCCAGTGATGGAATCTTTCTTGAATTCCATCCAAGTGGTCAAGAATGCTTTTTCGCCATTGGAATCTAGTGTAAGAAAGGCCACCAAGGATTTTGAGCAGTGTTGGCCTCATATTACCTTCAAGAAAGGGTGTTCTACTGTTAGTACTGATAGCAATGATGATCAGAGTAATGTAAATTTGGGCGCCCCGGGGCAGTTGGGGTTTAGGAAGAAGAATAATAACGGTGGGGGTGTGGGCAATGTGTGGTTGGTGATGAGAAAAAGAAGGGTTTATCGATTAAATTGCCAATTAAGATGGTTGTGGGCATGTTTGTGGAGAAATGTGGGGGTAATGGAATGTTACTAGGGCTGAGAGTGTTGCAAAAATGGGGTTGAAAGAGATGGATGTGGAAATGGTGGGAAAGAGGATGGGGGTTGCAGTAATTGCTTGCAATTCGCAGTGGCGTGGTCTTTGTTGATTAATGGTTTTGTTCAGGCTTTTCCTAGCCCCTTTAAACATGGGAAGAAAAGGATTCAGAGGGTTTGTGATGAGAATGCTGTTGGTGGTGGGACACCGCGTGTTTCATGTGAGGTTAAGGAGAAAGGGTCCAAAATGGGAGGTGGTATGGAGTTCTGTGACGAATACTTGAAGGAAAAGGAGGAAAAAGGTTTGTCATTGGAGTGTTTTCTTGGTTTTATAGTTGATCAGTTCATTCAAAATGTTCAGAAGTTTGATGTGAGAATGCAGGAAATTAAGTGCAGCAGCACTGCCGGTGGTGAGTCCGGTCCAGTTGCTGATGATCAGTTTGATCATTTGAGGGCGCTTGCTAGTATTTTGGAAGGTAAAAGGGCTGATGTGAATGTATTTTTTGGAAATTTGAAGTTTGCGCGAGTAGGAGGTGTTCCATCAAGTATTGTTGGTGTTACTTCTTCCAACAAGGAAGAGGTGATATTGGAGTTAACAATGCTGAAACTCAGGAAGGGAGTGCGGGTGGCAATTCCCCGCAAAAGTTAGCAAATGGGTTGCTTAGCATTCCCTTATCAAATGTTGAGCGTCTGAGATCCAGCTTGTCAACTGTGTCATTGACAGAACTGATTGAGCTTTTACCTCAAGTTGGGAGACCATCAAAAGACCACCCTGACAAGAAGAAGTTGTTCTCAGTCCAGGAGATGTTCAGTTGGAGGGTAGACATTTCAGCTTGTCGTGTACAAGATTTATATATTAGCCCTGATGGTAAAGCAAGCTTGTCGCAAAAGATGCATAGACAAATATTTGCTTCTCTGTACTCATGTTTCCTTGCAGTCTCTCTGGAGTTGTTTTCAGGCATCCGGTTCGAAAAAACGGAAAGTTCTAGTAAGCTCGGGGAGCATGGGAATCCACCAAATGTGTAGACTTGTAGGTGACGAATTTTCGGTAGTACTTGTCAAATTGCACTCATAATGCAGTTCAGACTTTCCACTGCCAAATGGTACGGGATAAAAAAGATGCCGAATGGTACTTTGCTTTGAGTTCACACATTCATCACAAGAAAGCCAACACCGACATTAACTCCACCCCCACCCCCACTTTCTCAAAAAAAGAAAATCCCCATCCCCCACCCCAGTCGGACCCATGAGTTTGAAGTAACTGGTAAGCGAGAGTTGTTAACGTGAACAGGAGGTCACAAGTTCAGCTCCTACGTTACATTACATGTAATACCTTGAAAAATTTTGGATCAAACCTTTACTCCAGAATAAGAGTCGAATTCTGCAGACATTCCCTAGATCAAATCAGAATTAAGCTCACTGAAAGTGGAGATATCAAAAAAAAAATAAATAAATAAAAATTGGTGATATTTTATGCATCTTTATCTCTAGTACTTTTGATTCTTGATCGACGCGTCAGTATTGTCACTTTGAATTGTTATTTTTTAAAGAATAATTTTTATATTATTTTTTTGTGTATGTATTTTTTTGTCAACTACTTTATTATTCACGTATATCAAATCATTATAATATATAATTTTTTTTAATTAAAACTCAAAAGAAAAGGTGAAAACAGGTTCTCAGCCCCTAGTGTCTTCACACTTGGATTCAGTTCCATTGATTAACAACTGGATAATGGAAGACGTGTCAGGCAGAGCCTCTACCCTTTCCTCCTTCGCGATTTGGTTCGATTACGAGTGGGTTTCACTTTCACTAAGAACTACGACCGAACAATTAAACATATATAAGAAATTCAGAGATTAAAGTTCCCAAGATTCCAATCAAAGTCTAACCGACGGATTCAGTCAATTAGCTACCGTTCTATTCAGTCAATGTTAGTTGCTGCGTATGATAATCAAACGAACCAAAACTCAAATCAAAAGCCTGTCTTTGGTGGTGATCTTCCAGAACGCACTCAAGAAACTTGACCCGACAAGTCCAGAATTCAGAAGCTTCCTTCCAAGACAAACCTCGGCCTTGCACCATTTGATGCAATCCCCAACCCTGTTCTCCATTGCTTCCAAATATGGTAATTAAAGCTTCTAATTTTGTATATACTCCTTTGAATTCAAGCTTCAATCATTTGTATTAGCCATCACTAGTTTCTTTTACAGCAATATCTTTATTATTTGGCTAAGTATTCAGCTGGGTTTTTCCTCCCTCTTGTTTGGTTCCTTAATTTAATTTTTTTAAAATTATTTCTCTGTGATTCATCAGCCCCATTTCTTTCACATGTTTTGATTTCTGCTATCAGCCTTTCGAGTTTGCTTATATAAAATTTCTATGAGGAAAGCATGTTGCATTGAAATTAGATTAACAAGTGAATCTAACTATTCGAAGCTTGTGAAATTTGTAAGGAGTGGAACAAACCATTTTGGTTCGTTAACATAATAGTTGCAACCATTTGCAGTGTGTTTCCTGAATTTAACGAATATATTTTGTATTCATGGAAGGCGGCATTTTCCATGAGGAATCTTGAAAATGGATATCCGTCCTAAATCCTTTCATTACTTGGTAATTATTGTGTTTTCTCTTGTAGACGAGTGGCTAAAGAGTCATACCGCCAAAAAAAAAAAGCTTCATCTCCACGACATGGATCACAGTCATCAATCCAGTGGATAGTGTTTAGTACTAGCTGGTAGTGGTTGAGAGAGTACCTTAGGAACTATGATTCTGTGGATTTTTTTTTCTATGGTAGACAAGAATTAGTGAGCTTCTAAATATTCTTCAGGCTACCCCATTTCTGGCTGGACTTGCAGTCGCTGCGACAGCTCTAGCCGGTAGATATGGAATTCAGGCTTGGCAAGCGTTTAAGGCACGTTCGCCAAAATCTAGAACCCGAAAGTTTTATGAAGGTGGCTTTCAACCTAAAATGACCAGAAGGGAAGCAGCTCTTATCCTGGGCATTAGGTAAGCAACTCATCTGCTGAAATGTTTGGTTCAAGGGAAGTTGGAAGGCCATAGTTCACTTCTCTACTGGAGGTTATCCAGATGCCTCAGACATGTTATGCATTAACACGAAATGTGTTTTAACCTTGAATTATATTTGGTGAAGTAATTTCAAGGAATATGTCAAAAACCTCTAGAGCATACATGATGCTGGGGGTCATATCAGATAATTGATTTGAAATGAAGGCTTCTTACTCACTGCAGACAAATCCATGTTGATGAAGTAACATGGTTCTGCTAATTCATTTCTCATATAGTGGGAAATTTGCAAGAACTTGCTGAACATCAGGATCATTAAGCAGGGGTTGAAGAAGATGATTAGTGAAATGGAATAGTGAAGTAATTGAGAAAGACAAAAGCTATCACACAGTGGACTGAAGTATATAGGTGGATTTTATAATGAAGATGGCATGTGTTTTCCAACACTTGCAGTTTCTCCTGCCTTCCTTCCATACCAGAATGTTGGCGGGCAGGGTTAAAGGCTTGGGCAACTTAAGGGAGGATAAAAAATTAAACAAAACAACTTGAGGGAAAAAATGATAAAAGGAACATTTACATAATGGGGTCCTGAAATCAAGAGCCAAATGGTCTCTAATTAGGATTCCAATTAGTCTCTTAAAATTCATTTTTCTATTTTCAAATGAAACTTCCTGAAGTCATCGGCTAATAGGTATCTGATTGCAGACGGTAGAAAACTCAATTATCCTTAATATGCACCTGTCAGAGAAGGCATGTCTATGTTTGTAAAGAGCAAGATTTAGAATGAAGGCTGGGAGCTACTTGAAGACGAATTTCATCAGAACAAATAATTTTAAACTTTTGGAGTTCATAAATCAGAATTCAGAGGTAGTCAGGGCACGGTATAGGCTGTTCTATGTGCTTGGCAGTCCACTCTATCAATATTAGCTGACTGGCCAGCTTTGTGCTGTTCTGTCAACTTTTCATTGTATTAATCTGTTCACAAAATCATTTTTGTTGGCAACATATTTACACTCCAAATCACATCAAAAAACTTTTTTCGCACATGCTGTCAAATCCACTCAGAAGGTGAATGTAGTTACAAAAACAAGATAAAACGGTCTGCATTACCAGTAAAAGGAGTGCAGCATGGCTGTGCTGGGAGTCCACTATAATCGCTAGCTAAAAGCCAGAGTAGATAACATACATATATAACTTCTATGACTAGCAGCTTAATGGTGGCAGTTCAAGTTGCTAATGCAACTTAAAGTAAAACATAGGGGTTTGTAAATCCTTACTCTGGCTGTTTCAATCCTCTGCACCTAGTCTAACCCGGTTTGACTGGTACTCAAGTATAAATGGTATGCAACCAGGAATATGAGATTCAGTTCCTTTTGTGGCCTAAATTGAAATGCACTAAGAGAATGACTCTCTTTGCATATGATCATGCCAAGATCCTCTTAACGTGGAAGTTTCTTATTCTAAATGCATGTTGCATGTAAACATGTTGCATGGTTGAACTAAATTCAGCAACTGTATAGACTTTGATGTTACCCATATTATTGTGTCCACTTAACGTGGTTGTTTCTTATTCTAAATGTGTCTTGCATGGTTGAACTGAATTCAGCAAGTATGTAGACTTTGACGTTACCCAATATTATCTTCCGTTGAGTAACAATACTATCTCTTCTTGTAGCTTTTGGCCCATTATCAGCCTTCATCCAAGCATTGATTTTAACCATATAAACTTACCACTTGAATGCAGTGAGTTATCAACACAATTTTCCAAACCTTTTACAGAAAAGTTTTGGGTTTTATGGAACTTAATATTCTTGCAGGGCTTATGGAGTTTGAGTTTCTCCATGAGGTTTAGATCTTCTAATTTGACACCATTTTGCTATCCTATTACATGAGTTCCTTTGTTCCGTTTATGAGAGGAATGAGGAAAGATTCTTATCGCTTATTTTGAATTGTTTGACAGAGAAAATGTAACTGCAGACAAAGTTAAGGAAGCACATCGAAAGGTTATGGTAGCAAACCATCCTGATGCCGGTGGTAGCCACTATCTTGCTTCTAAAATCAATGAAGCGAAAGACGTCATGCTTGGGAAAAAAAGAGACAGTGGATCCCCATTTTGACGCAGTTGATGATTCTTGATGAGCATTGGCAATGTTCATTCCTCAGAGCTTTACTGTCTTAATGTTTTTTGATATGCATATGGCAAGAAAGGCAAATCTTATGCGGGAATCAACACCAGCAATACATTGATTCCCTTGTCTCAGACATCGAAGGTTTCAAGTTTTGACCTACTTGCACTACCCCTATGGCTGGTGAAAGCTCTAGAAAGTAGAAACTGTAACAGACACATGTCTATAGTTCCCTTTCATTTGATTATAGGTACAATAAATTGTGATGGAGTTAAAATGACCCAAGCTTGAGGGTTTTAGATTTAACATGTGACACCATTTTTGTCGACTGTAACTTGAATTTGATCTGGATCATTTGTTGGGATTCATTTGTTTGCTTTGCACTTGGCATATTTCATGACCGGAGCCACATATATAACATGGGCTCAACTTAAATGTCGCAATGCCTCCAGCAACACTACAGATTACAAAGCAATACATTATCCTGCAACAAGTTATGGTCCATCACATTTGCAACTACATCCAAACATAATGGATCATGATATAGGTTAAACAATTGCATGACCTACTTGTTAGGATGGCATTGAGGCTCTTATTAAGTACTTAATCTTGATAGGTACCAGTACCAGGGAAACCATTCAACATGATTAAACGTGATTCAGAAAATAGAAGATTAAACATGTGATTAACTTTCAGTAGAATTAAATCAGGAAACCATTCAACATGATTGAAAGAACCTGGCACCAGAAGACATAGCAGTACCATCTGCTTGGCTGATGGACTGTTTGCTTTTAAATCAAGTTTAACTTTAAAAAGCTCATATAATTAGCATCTTACTTATGGCATGATTATACACACTAAAAAAAAAGCCCC